GGGGCCGCATGCAGACGCAGCCATTGGGGCCTTCGGTTGAGCTCCCTATGGTTTCACGAAACATGCGAGAGGTCTGCCGAAGTGGGGCGGGGCCGCATGCAGACGCAGCGACCATGGCCTTGATTGGAGGGCCCCGAAATGTGTGAGGGGTCTGTCCGAATGGGGCGAGGCCGCACGCAGACACAGCCATTGGGGCCTTCGGTTGAGCCCCCTACAGGGTCACGATACGTGTGGGGTTTGCCAAAATGGGGCGGGGCCGCATGCGAACGCAGTCACCTGGGCCCTTCGGTGGAGCCCCTTTCAGGGGCCACGATGTGTCTGAGGGGTCTGCCGAAACGGGGTGGGACACATGCGAACGCAGCTACCAGGGCCCCTAGGCGGAGATCCCTACGAACCACGAAACATATGATGGGTCTGCCGAAGGTGGGCGCGGCCGCATGCGAACGCAGCCACCATGACCCCCGGTGCAGATCCCTACGTCTGAGAGGTCTACCGAAGTGGGGCAAGGGGCAAGGCCGCATGCAAACACAGCCACCAGGGCCGCGATACATCTGAGGGGTCTGCCGCAGTGGGGCGGGGCCGCATGCGAACGCAGTCGCTGGGGCCTTCAGAGGAGCTCACGATTTGGACCACGATACGTGTGAGGGGTCTGTCGAAATAGGGCGGGGCCGCTTGCGAACGCAGCCGCTGGGGCCTTCGGTGAAGCTCCCTGCGAAACTACGAAACGTGAGAGTACGGTACAGTACACAAGCTATGCGCCAACCATTGACACGGCGCTTGGACACCACTGTCGCCGCTGAGCCGGGTGTCCGATCAGGACGCGCGAGCGAAAGAGTGCGCAATTGGCACCCCCTGCGACCATGATAGGACACACCAAGGCAGAGCACCCGTCGGTGAAGCAGGAAAACAGAGCGCCTCATGACAGTGAAGCAGAGCAGGAGGAGGAGGAGGAGGAGGAAGAGGAGGAGAGCACGTACCCAAACAGGAAGAGACGAGGGCAAGCGGGCAAGAAGCGACACGAGGGCAAGAAGTCTGTCCGCTCCTGACCGACTACCGCGCGCCTGCTTCCAGAGCAATGCTTTGACAGCGCTCAACCCTTCAGCTATCGAAGCTGGGGTCGGCGAGGCGTGCTTCATTTTGTGAGAGCAGTAAAAGGCGAGCTCAATCCACTGAATCGACCGCGTCAACGAGATCTCGTTCGCAGGCTCAGACAGATAGGCTGCGTCGGGGCCAAAGCCCCAGGTTGTAAGCGTGCTGTGGAGGTTGGGCGAGTCGGGGGAGCAGAGGAGGCTCAGGAGGACCGAACGGGGAGGAGGAAGAGGAGGAGGAGGAGGAGGCGGAACGCAGCCACCAGGGCCCTTCGGGGGAGCTCCCTATTGGGCCACGATGCGTGTGAGGGATCTGCCGAGATGGGGCGGGGCCGCATGCGAACGCAGCCACCAGGGCCTTCGCTCCCTACGGTGCCACGAAGCATGTGAGCGGCCTGCCGAAACTGGAAGAGGGCAAACGATAATGATGAGGAAGTGGAGGGAGGAGGGGGGAGGAGGGCGGAGGAGTAGGAGAAGACGCGGGGCGCTGCGGATTCAAAACGAGGACCCAACACACAGGAAGGTGGAGAAACAATGATAATACCCAACGTTCCGCGAGATTATTGCGGACGCTTCTCCAACTCGGTGGATATGGATGAACCCCAGACCTTGACACATAGATCTGTGTATATATATACATATATACACATCCATCAATCCATCCGTACATCCATACATACATGCATACATACATACATATACACATTCATCCATTCATTCATGCATACATACACACATACATACACACATACACACATACATACATACATGCATGCATGCATACGTACATACATGCATGCATACAAACATACATACATACATAAATCCGTACATCAATGCATCTATACATCCATACAGTCATCCATACATCCATACATACATACATGCATACATACACCATACATATACACCTACGTACACACATACGTACATACATGCATGTATGCATACATACATACATACACACCTGCACACATGCATACACGCATAAATATTTACATGTATGCATACATGCATGCATGCATGCGTACATGCATACATACACACGTACCCACATCCATACATACATACATACATACATACATACATACATACATACATACATACATGTATACATACATACATGCATACATACACATACATACATACATACATGCCTGTCTACCTACCTACCTACCTACATACATACATGCATACGTATATACAAGTACACAAACATACACACATACATACCTGCATACATGCATGCATACATGTACGCACATATACATATATACATAAGTACCTATATACATACACGTATGCATGTGTATATATACTTATATACACATATGTAAATGCTGACTGTCTGACCGTCGCCGTACTAATTGGTTCCTCGGTTCGGTACATGATAGAAGGGGGCCGCTATGGCGCGCGGTCCTTTGTGAGCTTCGAGATTAGAGCTACTGGAGCCTTTCAGGGCCCCACTGGGGACTCTTGGGAGCCGTTTGAAGGCTTCCAAAGCTTCTTCTGGGCCTCTTGGGTGCCTGTCGGGACTTGTTGGGGACCTGCTGGCGGTCTCGGGGGCCGTGTTGGGGCTCTCTTGGGCCGTCTTGGGCGCCTCTTGGGCCGTCGTGGAGCCCTCTTGGGCCGTCGCGGGGGCGTCTTGGCAACCTCTTGGGCCGTCTTGGGGCGGTTTGGGGGGCGATTTGGGACGTCTTGGAGCGTCGGAAAGCCCAAAGTCGTAGATTCCAGAATGTACGCCGTCCTCGAGGAATTGGACGGTGTTGGCCTCTTGGGGCTCTCTTGGAAGGCTTCTTGGGGCTCTCTTGGGACGTCTGGGGGGCCTCTTGGGCCGTCTTGGGTCCATCTTGGCCGCCATGGAAACCAGTTGCCCGTCTTGGGGCCCTCTGGGGACCATCTGGGGCCGCCTTACGCCCTCCAGGGTGGCTCCGGACCCAGCGGCCCCAACGTGGCACGGAGTCTAGCCGGAATAGTTTTCTACGTGGTTAAGATTTCAATGTATTAGTACACATTATATATATACATACATATATACATATATACATATATATATATATATATATATATATGTATGTATGCGGGTGTATGTGTAAATGTATACAGATAAACAGATATACACATACAAGAGAAAACATATAAAAACTACTCCGACGGAAGGACCCCGCATGAGAATCCCCTGGGCGAATCTGGAACAAGTCCTCACCGTCGTCCTCGTGGTTGGTGAGACGTCCTGGCTGTCTCTTCTTAAAATATTTTTTCTCGCCCTGGCGCGGGCCCTCCCCCCGCTTCCTACGTTGCCCCCGACCTCGCCCTCCTGTTTTGGCTCCGGACATTCAAAAAGTGGCCCGGGAGTTGTGTTCTGGGAACACGACGAACACGAAGTGGCCTACAGTTGGCTCCGGGCATTCAAAATGTGGCCTGGGAATTGTGTTCTGGGAACACGACGAACACGAAGTGGCCTACAGTTGGCTCCGGGCATTCAAAATGTGGCCTGGGAATTGTGTTCTGGTAACACGGCGAACACGAAGTGGCCTACAGTTGGCTCCGGGCATTCAAAATGTGGCCTGGGAATAATGTTCTGGGAAGACGAAGAGCACGAAGTGGCCTACAGTTGGCTCCAGGCATGCAAAATGTGGCCTGGGAATGGCGTTCTGGCAACGCGAGAGCCCAAAAGTGACGACAGTTACACGTTTCGAATGGCCCGCCTCGGATTAGAAACATGAGGTGCGGGCCCCATAGGGAAGGGCTCCCGCCTGAGACTTCCTGACAATTCACTCACAGGGTTCCCGCCTGATACTACCTCCACATGCTCGCCACAGGGGCCAAAAATGACGACAGTTACACGTTTCGAATGACCCGCCTCGGATTAAAAACATGAGGTGCGGGCCCCATACGGGGGGGCTCCCGCCTGAGACTTCCTCACAATTCACTCACAGACGAGGCTCCCGCCTGATACTACCTCCAAATTCAAACCAGGGAGTGAGTGATGACGAAATGATGAGTGAGTGAATGATGATGATGCGTGTGTGATGAATGAATGATGATGATGCTGATGATGATCATGATGGCCACTGAGTGGGTGGTCGAGAGATTATGATGGAGATGGTGACGATGATGTTGAAAGTGGCGGCGGTCCTACCGTCGGAGGACCACTGCCTCCGAAGCCTACTGAGGATGAGTGAGTAATTGAGTGAGTGAGTGGGTGATCGAGTGGGGATGATGGTGACGATGATGATGTTGAGGATTAGGATGATGAGTAATGATGAAGGATTATGGTGATGAGTAGTAATGACGGTGATGGTGGTTGATGGTAATGATGATGGTAATGATGATGATGAGTGTGTGTGTGTGTGATGACGATGATGGTGGTTGATGGTGATGATGATGGTGATGATGGTGAGTGTGTGTGAGAGAGAGGAAAGGGGGGTGAGATCCTGCGCGGCGTGTGCAGAGACAACAAGAACCCCACTTTGGATGTGTGAAAAAAAGATGAAGCTTGGTCGTTCTCACTCAAGGTGCACGAAACACGACTGGTGTGTATAGGGCTGTAATGTGCCCTTCGCTGGCGCAGTGGATGCTCATCCATCTCCGATCGGCTATGCACGCGAGGCGCTGGCTTCGCCACTGTGGGCTCGCGGGCAAAAAGAACAGCGTACGAATCTCGAGCAAGTGCTTCAAATAAGAGAGCAATATTTCAGCATGTCCCACGGACATGCCTTATCCCCCAATGGCCCTGGAGACCCGCAGAAGCCTTGGGGCACCGTAGGAAGCTCAGAGATCATCGACAGATGTGGCCCTTGATTCCTTTAGGCGGGATATCTTTTCGTATGCAGTAATCTTATGTAGTATGCCCCACCATGTCACCACACAGAAGGAAAGAGAAAGGAGGAGAAGGCGGGGAGCCGCCGC